AGGCGGCGGAGGGTGGATTTGGGGAGCTGGGCTGGGACTGATAAGCGCCGGGGATGGAGTGAGAGGTCAGGAGGCACAGCGGGTTGGGACCGAGCGGGCGCGGGGGACGGCGAGCCCCGGCGGCGCTGGGCTCGGGAGGTGGGGGCAGCGGAGCGCAGGCGTCTGGAAGGTCAGGCTCGGGTTCGGCGCGCCCGCGGTCCTGGCGGATGGTGCACCGATCCCTGGACTGGTGCAGTGGGGCCCGGGGACGTGTTCTTGCATGTTAGTTTTAGTTACCATCTTATGTTTGGTCCACAGACTGACTAGCACGGTGGAGAAAGCACCCCGAAAACGGAAAAGCAGGTAAGGTAAAATGCCTTCGTAGTTTGTTTCGTGTTTTTCCATCGGCTTGGCCGCACCTGTGCCATCCTGTCAGCAGGTGAAGTCGTTTATTTAGCTCTTTTCCTAACGAACTCTGCAAGACTTGGAGGGGGTGGGGGGTAATCTAAGACTATATGGGAAAGAAACGTGCATCATTGCGAAATCCTAGTTTGTTTGTTTTTTTACTTTGGCCACAATTTCAACTTCTCCACCAGCTCTGTTTAAAAGCTAATATTCATTGGCCGTCTACTACTTGCCAGATACTATGTGCAAGTGCTTTATGTGTGTTATGTTTCTGTAATCCTTGAAGCACCCCAAGGAAGTATGTACCGTTTTCACTGTTTTGCAGAAGAGGGAACTGATGAAGAGAAAGGCCAGGTATTTACCCAAGATCACACATCCAGTAATTGACAGAACCAGGATTTGAATTGAGGCAGTCTGACTCCAGAGCTTAAGCTCTTAACCGTTATACCATGACGCCTCTGATAAATATCGAATTGAAAATGGGTTTTCCTATTGCTTTTTCTGTTTTCATTGTACAGAGTCTAGTGAATAGTTGAACCATAGGAAAAAAGGAAAAAGAGCTTACGTAGTCGGCAAACAAGTGAGTTATTCCTTGAGTAATGAAAAGCATCTATCCATTCCACAGACATTTTTTAGTGCATC